TCACATCTCCATTAACAATTTGGGCAGAAACGTGGAGTTCTCACAGCACAGCTCAGCACACACCGAGCTCCCCAGGCCACAGGAAGCCCTGCCTGAAGCAGGGCTAAGCTCTGACACAGCAGCAATGCTTTTTCCCTGCCAGGCTGCAGCTCCCCAGCCCTGGGGGAACAGCCACGTGCTTGTTCCCTGTGCTGCTGGCAGCTCTCCCTCTGCAGCCTGCTCTCTACTAAGGGAAAACCTCTTCCAAAAGAGCTTTGGTTCAGAGCAGGAGCTCTGATCGTAAAGATTACAGCTAGAGCTTTTAAATCACAGTGTTAATTTAAAAGAATTCTCTAGGTAGGCTAAAAGTTCTAGTTAATTTTGTTTTCCTGGTAATGGTGTAGTTAAAGCAGAATCTCAACTTACACATCCATAAGCACATCCATTTTTTATTAATAGCTCAACTAATTGATGTCTTTAACAAATTAGTATGTGCACAGCAGAGCAAGGCAGGTGTATGTGTAGCTGAGTGGGATATGTTATTGCCACCTGCAGTTAGGACTTAGAATCTGCTAAAACCTCTCAAAGAGTTTTCCAAATCCATGGTATATACATGAAGTCATCCATACAATAAAATGCTTGCTCTCCAAAGGAAATTCATTATAAATGCTGTTCTATAAGCTTTCTCCCATGCCACACCCTGCACCAAAGAGCTCTGATTACAGCTTGTCTCCATTTTAGCCATGCTCCAGGCCTGGTTTTGCCAAAAGCAGAACTTTTCAAATACAGAAAAGTCTCAACATCCTTGTCTATAGCCCTATAAAGAGGCTTAAATCAAGGACAAAGAGGCATCTTTGGAAAGGACAGTGCAACAGCTTACAAAGAAACAGGCTTTTTTCTAGAAAAAGAAAATTCTAGACAAAGTTAGAGAGAGAAGCAGAGTTCTTTACTCTGAACATGGCTCTTAACATGCCAATCATCAGGCTTCCTGCCCACCTGCTAATCTGCAAGCCCAAGAGAACAGACTCATGGTTTCAACCTTAAATAAATAAAAAAGTATGGAATGTTTTTTCGCTCCAACTTAATTTTATTTCTCTCCAAAGTTTAGTTTATTTTATTTCTCTCCAATAAAGTTCAGTTTATTTTGATGCCATTACATATCACAGGTAGAATAACTAGTTTTTAGCTTTCGTTCTGTAGATGAATAAAATGAATATACAAATTAAAACAAGAACTACAGAGGGATGTCTTGCTCACTGACTTCCCTCTTGGGGCATTTTTGCCTCGTTGCAAGCCTGTGTGAGACAAACCTGAAAGGAAAGAGAAATCCATCAGTATTCAGAGATACTGGTACAGCCCACAGCCACCTGCAGCTCCAGCCTAAAGCACAACTTTGTTTTTCAGAGCAGTGACAACAGCTCTTTTCCCCACTGTGCATTGAGGCAGATGTGATGTAAAGCTCCTGCTCCTCCCTTCCCTGCTCTGAGCTGCTTCTTCACCTCTGACATCAGCCAAAATTCAAGACAAGGGGTCAGGGGGAAATGAGGAGTTTCTATTGCAGCTCAACAGTCCCCTGACTGGTGACAGAGGGACAGCACTGCCTTACAGCTATGGCTGACAAAAACACCCAGACTTACTGACAGCTTCTGCATGAGCCCTTGGGCCTTGGGGTTCAGCTGAAGAAAATTCTTCTTGGTCAGATCCTTTTCTGTCAAACGTATGCTCTGTGGAAACAAACCCAAATCTCAGGTTTTCTGTCTGGCCAGCTGCAGCAGCTGGAGACAGTAAAAAAGTTACGTAAAATAAAAGAGATTAAGATCTAAGTATAGACAGGCAGAGAACTACATTCAGCTGGAACAGCAGCTCATCTCACACCTTTCCTGCAGCGCATTAATGCATTACTGGCTGTGGTGGTTTTAAATAGCTTGATTTGTGGTGAGGGGGGATAAAGCCAGTGAGTGAATGACTTTCTTTGTGGATGCACTGGCATTCAGCCAGCACCAAACCCACTACATTGACACTACTGCTGATTTAAGTGCTTTAAAGTGAATGCACAGTGAAACATCCTCTTGTTCTGTTTCAACCAGCTTGAGCAGGCCCCACTTCTGGCTAAGAGTCTCAAGGTTTGTCTTCAGCTCAATCAATCCCTCGGATAAATTGCAGTGGCAGCTAAAGAGACAAGAGTGGATGAACTGAAGGAGGTAAAGCACCAAGAGGTGCCTGTGCAGCCCTGAGCAGGTGAAGGGTCAGGAGTTACCTCTCCTCCCCCGAGGGGCAGGGTGAGGATGACGTCCTCGGGGTCGGCCAGGGGGCTGCCCTTGGCAGAGAAGGTGTAAACACGCTCGTTGAGGGCAGGCGTGCGCAGGCCCGGCGTCTTGAACACCCTGCAACGACCAGATACCAGTGAGTGCCACTTGCTCACAGCACTTCCACTCCAAGTCTCTCATTTCAGGTCCAAAGAGCCTCTAAAGGCTGCGTTGTAAAGGTGTAAAGCAGATTGGATCAGAGATAGAAGGGTAATGTATTTATTGTCTCTGTTAACAAACCTGGGATCAAATCTGGGTGTAACCATGGATGTGCTTCCCTGAGCACACATGTCAACCATTCTGCCAGTAGCTGGAGTGATGAAGCTGTTTTTGCTTGACCTGTTAAAGGGAAATAAACATCTGCACGTAACATCACCTTGAGAAGTGCACAGGCACTTCTCAAAGGCTTGAAGAAGGTGACCACCACTATAACTAACCAGTGACCCAAAACTGGGGACAGCTTGTTGTCACAGGACAGGCAGCTGCCCATCTTTCATTCACATCAATTTTGCCCTGTAGTGTGGCACAACTCCCCCCACCACCACTGAAACAAAGCCCATCCCACCAAAGAGATATTTATATTTGCACTCTGACTCCCCATTTCTAGAGAGGAGACAGAGACATCCCCCTTACCTCTTGCTCCTGCCCTTCACAGTTGCTGAGGGGGGTCTTCTGGCCATGGGTGGCTTTTTGGTGGATGCCTTCACCTGAAGCACACATCACTCACCAGATCAGTTACTGCCCTCTCCGGGACAGCTGAGCCCACACAAACAGAGGCTTCCACACAAAATGCTCAGTCCCTTTCCATGGCACAAGAGCCCAGAACAAACACCACTGAAACTTTGGGACCCTCTCCCATTGCTAGACTGTGTGTAGCCTCCCTCAGAGCATCCTGGAGAGCCCAAGTCACCAGCTCAGTCAGGAATTCCTGTCCTGAGGATAATGTCACCCCAGAGAACAGCTGCTCACCTTGGCAGTCCTTGCATCCCCATTCTCAGCCTCTGAAGGACACTGGCTGGCAAGTCGAGATCTTTTCTGCAGTGGAAGTGATGGAGGCTCTGCTTCCTCGTCAGCTTCAACACTCCTTTTGATCTTACTCACTAGAAAGAGAAAGTGTTACCTTAGTAAATAATAACTTTAAATTATTATTTAGTAGGGAATTAAAACAGCTACAAGCAGTTTTGGCAACAATTTGCTTCAGAAATCCAAATTCCAGTGCAATCCTAATGGCTGCCAGAGCACTACTTTGGATTATTTTGAATGTTTGAATGAAATTAATTAGAGGTACAGCAGGTACTAGGGATAAAAGTAGATTTATTTTCCTGATTTAAACATACTGAGGGATGTGAGCAGGAACTGAATTATTATTCACCTTAAGTAACCACAACATGCTTCCACCTCACCAGTGATGCCACAAGCTTAAACTCACCTTTCTCAGCAACATCCAACAGGGGATCGATGACTTCTGCGCTTAGCCTGCGGATTTTTGTTATTTCCACGTCTGCCTAAAATTAAAAACACTTGTGGCACCACTGGGATTGTTGGCAGCCCAGTGCTCATGTAAAAGTTGTAGGGCAAACCCCCAGTAATTTTACAGCCAGATGAGCTCCACATTTGCTGTTGTGCTCAAGCTGGGCCTTTCAAGCATCTCTGCCTCCCTCAGGACTCAGTGCCTGGCTGGCAGCTGCAGGTGTACCTCTCCTACACCCTGCTGCTCAACCAGCTCAGAAATGCTGTCCTTCACTGCCAAATGCTTGTGCTCTCAGGGATTTGGGAGTGCTGTCAAGCAGATAAGGAAAGATCAACAGGGAGGAGCAGCACCAGGTAAATCCCACTTCTGATACAAGGTGCCTCTCTTATTGTTGCATTTTAAAGAAACATTTGTGAAAACATCGATGTAACTGTTTCTCTTGTAACGCTCCAGCACTCCATTCCAGTGTGAGGAGCAGAGTGGGATGGCTCCAGAGAGCTTTATGTTTGTGCTGCAAACCTACCTTAGCCACATCCTCCGGGGCGTTTTCACTTCTTGCTAGAGCTAGAAAGAAAACGGATCAGATACATCAGAAGTGTCAGGGACACTCAGCACAGCAGGGCTGTCACCGCGGGGGTGCAAAACCCAGCACAAACCAGCCTAGGGAACACAAGCAGCAGGCCCGTGGGATCGTTCCCTGGGGATTACGGGTAGGGTAGATCCCCCTCCTCCGGGGTTTATTATTTTTATCCGCGGGGGAAGGGTCCCTCAGCCCAGCACCCCCGGCTCCGCTCCGCACCGAAGAACTCCAGCCAGGTCATCTCGCGGATCTCCGGCGGCAGCCGCAGGATGGCCATGTCGTACATGTGCTCCACTTCTTGCACCATGCGCTCCCCGTCCGCCTCGATCCGCTTCAGCCGCCGCTGCACTGCGGGAGACGCGGCGTTAGCCCTGCCCGCGGCCCGGGGCCTCGCCTCTCCCCTTCCCTCCCCGTTCCGCGCTCCCCTCCTTCCCCCATCCATACCTTCTCTGTCGAAGTCCTGGAGGAAGGCCTCCATTTTGCGGCGGCGGGCGCTGGCGCTGCCCTTTTTCCTGCCGGGGGCCATGGCGGGCTCCGTGCGCGGCGCTCCCGCCGGGCGGGCTCTGAGGGCTCGCACCTTCAAACGCAACCGCCGCCCCAGCGCCCAATGGCGGCGCGGCGCGGCCCGATGACGCGCGGCAGCGGCGCCGGGAGGTGACGGTGATGATGATGGCGGCGATGATGGCGGCGCCCGTGGCCGCGCTCCGGGCCTGGGCAGAGGCGGCGGCGCGGGCGGAGGCGGCGGCTCGGGCGGCTCTGGCAGCCGCGGCCCCGCTGCTGGGCGCGCTGGCCGCGCTGGCGGCGCAGATGCGGGCGGCGCGGCGGCTGCCGTGGGACGCGACGCCGCTCGGCGCCTTCCCGGAGCTGCGGGCGCGGCTGTGGCAGAAGCAGCGCGGCGCGGCCGAGGCGCTGCTGGAGCAGCTGGGCGAGCGGCGGTGAGGAGGCGGCCGGGGCCGGGCGGGCGGGGGGCGAGGGCCCGGCTGACCCCGCTGTGCCGGCAGGGAGGAGCTGCGGGCCGTGCGGGACGCCGTGGGGGCCGCCGGCAGCGCTGTGCTGCGGCTCTTGGAGGAACCGGGCCCGGCCGAGCTGGGGCTGGCCCTGCTTCTGCGGCGTGGGCCGCGCTGCCCCTCGCTGGCCGACGTGCTGGAGGGGCTGCAGGACGTGGAACGCTACTACCGGCACCTGTATCCTGCTGGGGCTCTCTGGGCAGGGCTGGGGGTGTCAGGGCAGTGCTGGGGGGGCTGTTCTGTCCTTGTTGTCCTTAACCAGGTACGAAGGTACTTGGAGAGCAAACTGCTCCTGCAGCGCCTCAGCCTGGACAGCCTGGCAGACGTGGAAGCCCTGCCGCAGTCCTGGGAGAGGATTTTGGAGCGTTACAAGGAAGATGATGTTGTTCAAGGTAGTTCTGTGTGTGAAGAGCCGAGGGGTGTTTTCCAGGGCTCCTGCTGATGTCCCCTGGCCGTGCTGGCTCCGCTGGTCTCAGCAGCAGTGGGTGACCTGCTCTGAGATCTTTGTGATCTGATCAGCTTCAGCTGAAAGTACTCATCCTCACACCTGGGCACAGCTGGAAGCAACATCCTCCCTCACAGAGTGGCAAGGGCTCAGTGATCTATTTCACTGCTTAGTTAGTTTTACCCACGCTGTTTTTATTGCCTTTAGAAACACGTTTTTGGATTTCAGAATACAGGTAAAGCACGTTCAGCTGACAGGGTTGTTGTTTTCTCTCTGTCTCAGATACACTCCTGAAGGTCTCACTGTTTGTGGAGAACCATCATGAGGTGAGCTGCTCGCCTGGCTCCTGACAGGGCAGCAGGGACTGGCACTGACCAGCCTCTGGCACATTCTGTCATGCTGCAGAGGGGATGAGGAAGCTGAATGGAAGCTGAACGAGTTAGCATCAGCATGAAATGCTTGAACTGTACCATTTTCAAGTGGAAATGGCCTTGGTCTGTGAAGAAGAGGCTGAGCCCAAAAAGCTGTGAGGATAGAAGGGAGTCACCTCCAGCTGTGGAACTTGTCCTTTCCCTCTTTTCCTAGCCTGTTTTGTGTCATGGTAAAAATGTTGATTCTTGTTTACATGAGGTGCTGCAGATGTGTGAGTGTAATAGAGTCCTTCAGGCTGGTGCCATGAAATATATTTGGGCTCTCTCCTTGCAAATAAAGAAAACATGTCAGATCAGGGTTTACAAACAGTGCTCACCTCACAGTGTGTTTGCAATCATCCCAGCTGGGCATGGAGGAGGAAGGAAGCAAATCTGGCTTGAAGATGTCATTATGGAGGGGCACAGATGCCCAAGTTCTGACACAAACACGGGCAGCTTTCAAGGGTGAGCAGTACACTGCTCTGTTTCCACTGAAATCAGTCTTAAAATTTCACTCTCTGGCAGCCACTGCTGACAGTTCAGGGACACCTTTTGTTGGCCTTGGCACTGATCCTCTGAACATTCCCAGGAAGCAGTGGGTGTTTGTCTCTCAGCTCTGTGTTTGTGAAGGAGCTGCAGCTTCTCAGAGAAAGCCAATAAAGAATTGTATGGGACACGCTGTGGCTGTGGTGTTTGTGCTCACATTTCTGTGTCCCCAACCCAGGGTGTCCTCGTGGCCTCCTGAGGGCACTGCATGTCCCATGAACACAGGGGGAACAGATTGGGGTGCCAAGGGTGGGAAAGGGCTGGCTCAGGGCTGGGGCTGCCAGTGCTCCCATCAGGGATAGGGGATTCTTGTGTTTGTGAGGTGCCCCGTGGCAGGAAGGAAATGATAAATCTGACTCCATGTTCTTAGAAGGCTAATTTATTATTTTATGATCTATATTATATTAAAGAATGCTATACTGAAACTATACTAAAGGATACAGACAGAAGGCTAAAAAATACTAAAGAAAACTTGTGACTCTTTCCAAAGCCCTGGCACAGCTTGGCTGTAAATTGGCCAATAAGTCAAAAACAATTCACATGAAACCAATAAAACAATCTCCAACCATATTCCAAAGCAGCCCAACACAGGAGAAGCAAATGAGATAATATTGTTTTCCTTTTTCTCTGAGACTTCTCAGCTTCCCAGGAGAAGAATCCCGGGCAAGGGATTGGTCCAGAAAATCTGATGGTGACAGGGGATCACGAGTTCTAGCTGCAATTCTTCACACACAGTTGTAATTGTAAAGAAAACCACCTGCAAAGAAAACCTGCTCCTGGCACTGGGTGCCCTGGCCAGGGAGGAGGTGAGGTGGGTTCTGCTCCTGGTGGGGCTCTCGTGGCTGTGCAGCCTTGTGCTCCCTACACAGGGTTTGGAGCATGGCTGGTGGCTCAGGGTGAATCAGGGGTGTCATCCTCACAAACCAGCATGGCATGGTGAGCTTGGATGCAGAATTGTCTTTGCATGAGTGCATGCTGTACAACCCTTCAACATCCCTCTTCTGCCAGCCTCTCTTCAGGACAGCTGCCCAGTGAAGAAATGGATTTAAGTCCTGGGAGATGTTCAGCACAGTTCAGTGGTGGCCCTTCTGCTTCCAGATGTTTGGCCCCTGATGTCTGTCAGTGCTAACAACAGCCCTGCTAAAAGTGCTGAGGGAGCTTTCTGCATTGAAAGTGGCCATGCCCTGACTGTGATTGAAATGGGGTGGAGGAGGTGCTCATTGAAGTTTTGGTGTGATTAATTACTCTGTATGTTCCTGGGCCATGTCATCTGCAGCGTTCTGTGGGGTGTGAGTCTCTGCATCAGAGCACTCTAACTGGGGTCAGCTGGGGGCTTGTTCCATTGCAGATCTGATCTTCTGCCAGGATGGCTGCCAGAGACCCCATAGCTAAGGAGGACAGGGTTCCTCGTGTGTGCAGACCTCCCTTCAGCTGGTGTTTGCCCAGGAGTCACTGGGGGTTCCAGGGTTCCCCCATGAGCAGAGCCAGGGTGGGCATTCAGCCTTTCAGTGTCACACAGTGTTCTACCACAGGCAGGTGGAATGGCTGCTCCTGCTCCTCCTTGCCTGACAGATGAAGGGCTGAGCCAGACCCCTGCTCACAGCACAGGGATATCTCTGGGAGTCACATTTCCCTTCCTGAGTACTGGGACAGGAGGGAGGTGAGCGAGAGCAGCAGCTGCTGCAGCTGCCTGGGAGCCAAATACAGGGTCAGGGTGATGCCTTTTCCTTGGTCCTCAAATTAAGAGACAGACACAGTTAAGGGATAAAGGGTTTTTATCTTGGTGTTTAATAAGGATCCTTATGGTGCAACACTTCATCAAGGTGGAGTATGCTGAAATGTACACCCGAGAGATTGTGTATACAGTTTTATAGATTTTGCAAATTAGTATATCTAATAAAGATGCTTTGATGAGAGGCTTGAATGAACAGCGTGACATTTTCTCATCTCAAAGTATTCCCTCTTGGATGGGCTTAATCTTATTTTATAGGATGTATTTTAGATAGGACCTTGGTTTTTCAAGATAGCATAGGACTTTCCAGCTTTCACCTACAAGGCCTTTAGGATGTTTGGTTTTCTGGCTTAGCAGAATACCAGGACTATGTTAAGTTATCAGACTTAAGGAATTACAAGTATGTATTCTAAGAGCACTGAGAATACATAAAAGGTATAGAGAAGATCTATAAAAGATATATAGAAGGCAAAAATTCATCATGGCATCAAGGGGCTCCAGCCTGTGCCGTGTCTTAGTGAGGCTACGGGTAAGGCACCACTAAGGGCTCTGAGACCAACTGGTAAAATATATGTAACCATAAAAACTACTACAAGTACCTTTATTTTTGGAGTAGAGCTCTTAAAGTATTCTTGTACAGAGATCTGTCTTTGAGGAATGCAATAAAATGCAGTTAGCAGCTGGAGCTACCTTGTTAAAGGAAAATTGTCAGGAAACACAAAGCTCACACTTTGATTTTCAGCTTTACCTCCTGCTAACTCCATTGGAAAACAGTTCTTCACTTACAGGAAAAGCACAAACTAAATTCAGTTACTGAAGCCAAATGCCAACAAAAATTTATAAGGAGCACCTGACTTTTGTATGGTTGTTTTGTTTCCTCCCATAGGGGTGGGCACTGGCTTCTGGTGCAGTGGGGCCTTTGCAGTTCTGCTTAGAAATGGGGACCTGCTCTTGGTAACACCAGACTTCCAGAACAAACCCAAAAGCTTTGCTTTTGAAACAGATTTCAAAACTGTGTGTATTACAAGAGTCCACAGTTATGGAAAAGACAAAGGATTTGGCACCTGAACTGAAGTGTAAAGTGACTCAGAGGCAGAAATATGTGATAAAAAGCTTTGTGATTAATTTAATAAACCAAGTATGGGTTTCACAAGTCCCTATGGTTTTTGAGCTTATTCTTTGAGACTTTCATCTTGGCCTAAAGCAGAACTCCTTTGTGACTTTGCAGAGGGGCTGTCTGAGTACTTATTTGCTCTGAAATACAGCAAACATTCTCCCCTACCTGTTAGCTGGCTTTTTTGCTGTTCCCCAGTCTCAGCTCAGTGTTTCTCTAGTGCCTGTGACTTTGTCACAGCTTTTGCCCTGTTGAGCTCCAGGGAGGGGCAGATTCTGCTGATCTGATGGGTGTGCAGTGAGTGGGGAATAGTTCTGGGCTGTTGGAACCCCACGGTCCAGGAGTGGGGATGTGCTGGAAGGATGAACCTGCCTTGTTGCCCTGTACTTCCACCACCTCCCCACGTACCAGTGCCTCCCCACACATCAGAACATACAGAAATATTAAGCATCTATTTAATTTCCCAACAAAGCACCCTAAGATTCAGTTCTCCTCTGTCCCCCAGCATACCACAGCTGTTTTCACTGAGGCTGACATGGGATGGCTCCCTGTTCTCCCTGGTCCTTCTCTCCACAGCCCAGACAGTCTCTAGGCTGCCTGGGGAAAGCAGAATGAAGAACATCAAGCCAGTAAGTCTCCTAACCATTCTGCTATGTGAGGAATGAATCCAAGAGCCTTTGCACACTATTAATCTTTTCCAGTTCCTAAGAAAGAAAACGATCTCCTCCCGCTCCCATAAATTCAACCTCCTTCTCCAGCTTCTCCCCTGGTGTTTGAACTGTTAGCCAAGAGCTTTATTAAAACCTACAAGATGCACTTTTGTTCCTCACTGAATCCTAAACAACTGTGCTAGATGGAGAAGAAACATTTGGTGCTGTCAGCTTTAGAGCATTTTTGTGTGTAGTCCATGGCCACTTGTCAGCCAGAGACCAGCCTCAGCCCCACACTGAGCCCAATAGAACCTTTGCTCTGCTCCCCTGAGGTTGGGAGATAAATTCAAGCTGGCCAAACCTCACGGCCTCATGTCCCAAAGCTCCTGGCAATGATCCATATGGGGGCAGCAGAAGGGGTGTTCCCCTGCATGCAGCGTGCTCCTGTGGCACCTTGCCCTCCTGTGCCAATATCTGCAGCTTGCCAGTGGCCCTGGGGACAATCTGTGCCCTGGCAGCTTTCCTCCTCTCCTGCTCTGAGTGAGAGGCTTCTGCTACCAACCCTGTGTCTGTCCCCTTGGCATGACCCAGCCAGTGCCACCACTGGGGTGTGGGGCAGGAGGGGATGGTCCCCAGGTGTGGGGTGAGCAGAGAAGCTGCAGCTGGTGCTGGGCAGCTGTGGGTGTGCTGGGACAGCCAGGTGAGGCTGGCAGGTCCTGTGGGGGCAGCAAAGGTGAGGTGCACACCAGAGTCCTGCCAGCTGCCATGCATCACGCTGCTCCTTGGCACATCATGCAATGTGTCACAGCCTTCTCCCTTTCGTTTCCTAACATTCCCTCAGTCTGAAACTCATCAACCAGTGCTGAGAGAAAACATTCACAGATGAAGCCAAAGCAGAAGTGAGCAAAGCTGTTTCTTTGGCTGGATTCCTCCAGCTCCTTGTGTGCCACTGCTTGGTTTGAGCAAGAGCCACCTTCGGCTGCCCTGTGCACCTGAGCCATGGCGAGGGGACAGCAATCTCCAGCTGCTGTGGGGGAGAGCTCTTGTTGTGGCTTTGCCAAGGAAAACTCCCTTTCATGGTATCGTTCTGGTACCTCTGCCCAAACCCCAGGGAAGGGGGTGAGAGCAGATTGTGTGAGAGGAGACAAGGCTATGGAGCATGGCTTGCACAAGGAGTGCTTTTAAACTTCATAAACTTACTTGTGAGTCAGATGGCAGGAGCAGCAGAGGGGAGAAGTGGGGGGCGAGAAAGTCAGTATAGTTGAGCCCAGAGGAGAAGCAGCCTGAAGCAGCTCTGGAACCAAGAAGCCTGCAGCTGCTCTGCTGGAAGCAGGGGCTGGGGGCACCTCAGGCAGTGACAGAAAGTTCTGCTCATGAGGAACCTGAACAGGAGCCCCAGTGCAAGCCCCATATGGGGAGCCCAGAGCTCACGGGGGCTGAGCCCTGGCACAGGGGGGTTTGGGCAGTGCTGCCCATCCTGTGCTGCTGGGGTGCCACAGCCCCCTGCCTGCCGTGTGGGAAGACAGGGAAGCAGGCATGTGGAAAAGCCCCAGAGGTGAATAATCCAGCTTTCACTGGACATGGCTCCCCCAGCTCTGAAAGGCTTTTTGGTCGGGTTTAATGAGATTAGTCTG